TTTTTTTTTTTTTTTCGCCTTCCTCTCCTCCTTCCGCTCCTTCACGGTCTGAGACAAATCGCTTCCGAGAAACTGAATATTCTCCTTATGTACCCCGCGTCTTTTCGGAAACGGTATTTTTTAAGGGATCGGGAGAAATTACAGGGTAGGGGAGGGGAAAGAGAGAAAAAGTTGATTTCTCCCCACAACCGTGTCCTCGCGAGCAGGAACAGCTTCTCTGTCCTCACTGCAATTCCCAAATACACCGGAACCATTCACCAGAACCACTTTCACAAGTACCTGGACCCAGATTCTCGCTCCCACAAAGACCAATACGGCGCAAATATGTTCTGCATGGGTTTTTTTAACTTCTCCCCCTTCTCCCCAGCTAGTTTATGCCCCCAGCTAAGGAAAAAAATATTAAAAAAAACCAAAACAGCAAATAGATTGCAGCACGGTAGTGGTTTCCGCCTTTTTTTTTTTTTAATGAACACAGTGAACTGAAAACGTTGATTTTTTTACACGAATCACCTCCAAAAGGCTGTGGGTCCCAACTGCCTCTCTGCGCAGAGCTGGGAGAGGACAGGGCGACCCCGCCGCGACCCCCACGCCCCAAGGCAGAAGGCCAATACCGCCTAACGCCGCTGCTTTCCAGCGAGGAAAACTGCAGAAAAACGGCTAAAACCGGGAAAATTCAAAACTCATTCCTAGCCAAAACGGGGAGATAACTGGACCGTCAAGTATTTCCTAATACCATTCTGATTTACTTTCCTTTTACAAAAATATTTGTAGCTCTCTTTTTCTCTTCAAGTATATGACGAGTACTTAATATTTCTGCACATTTAGCTATGAGGACTTCGTGATTTTTTTTGTGTGTGACTGGGTTTTTTTCCCTCGGGCATCACAGATCCAGACTGAAATCTCTACACCGACCTTTCCCAGGACATCCACACTAAAGATCACACCTTCTCTCCTCTATCCGAGTATTGCTCGGGTCCTCGCTAACAATAAAAATAATAATAGCAGTAGTAATAATAGTAATAGCAATAGTAATAATAATAATAATAATAATAATAATAATAATAATAATAATAATAACAATAATAATAATAATAATAATAATAATAATAATAATAACAAAATCACACCTCTCCTTATTACTCCTGTCACTTCTTATTAAACCTTGCTCTTCCCCGTGTCACAACTGTCACAGGGAGACTTCCCCCTTTCCCCTCCCTCCTACTTTTTCCCGATCCTCTTCTGCACGGAGCCTGCTGCTTTCGTGTGAGCAATGGCTATAAGCCTCACATTGGTGACATTTTAATCAATGCTTCCTAGCCAGACTGACATGAATTTTACACTTCAAAACTCTCCTCCGTCAGCTAATTGATTCAAATTGTTTTATTGGTTAAACCCGTGTCACACATTGTATGATCTATTACCACGCCTCGGAGAAAATCTCCCCTCCTGTCTTGGTTCCCAGGTCGGCACCAGGAGGGACGGGGGTTTTAGGGAGAAGCCGCTTGATCCTGAGGATGCTCAGTGCCTGCATCCCCGCAGCGGCCGCCGGGCAGACCTCTCCCCTCTCTCGTGGTCACCCGGCGGCTTTTCCCCGACCATTCCCAGGAGAACCGGGGATGGGCGACTTCGCCCCACGCTCTGAGCCCGGCGTTGGAAGAGGACGGGAAGCAATTGCAGGAGGCGAAAGGGATGAGAGGGTTTTGCAAAACACCTTCAGCGAAGGGAGAGGAGGAAAACTCAGGCTCGGGACAGGGTCGTCGCTAGCCAGCGACTACGTTTTATTTTGTGGTGTCTAAACGAAAAGTAAAACTAAACTGCTTTTTTCTTCTTCCTTTTTTAATTTTCTTTTCCTTTTTGTCACCTGCTTGGTGCTGTCGACCCTCCTCAATTCCGTTGTAAAAACTGAGTGACCTCCTCCCTTCCCTTTAAAAGGAAAACTTAAACACACGGGTCGGGATGTCTTAGGTCTCACGGAGGGAGGAGGTGCAAGGGCCACCGAATTTGGGGCAGAGAGCGGCCCACACCAGCACCGTGGAGGAGCTGGGTAAGAATACACCGTTCTCTACTTTTTCTTACTTCAGCCTGTTGGGAAACCTCATGGGCTAGCACGACCTCAGCGCGGGCATTGCGGGGGTGGTTTGTCAGGGAAAGGCTGGATCACACAGCGGCCGGGAGGATCCCGCAGGTGTCCCCAGGCGGGTGAGGCCCGGCCAGGCTGCTCCGGCCGCCGCCGACCCTAGCGGGGTCTCCGCGGGTCGGACGGAGCCCACCCCGGCCATGAGGAGAGGAATCCCGGCTGGAGCTGGGCTGTCCACACTCCCCGTCATGGGTAGGTGCAGATTTGGGCTCCTGTCCTGGCGCCGACTCTCATTTCTCCCGTCCATTTCGTTGCTTCTTTGGAGCCACCTCCCAACAGGGGTGTGGGAAAGGTGGGCAAACTCCACGCAGAACCCTGGAAGGGCTAAGCAGGAGTCCTGACTCCTTTTCCCTCTTCCCTTCCTGTCGCGATTCTGCCTCGGAGCAGCCGAGAGGGAGGCGACAGCAGCTCATTGTCCCGCCGCGGATGGCTTCGTGGGCAAACGAGCAGCGGGGAAAAGCGGCCAAGTTTAAACCACCCCAACCCACCCTCATGGCCTTTATTTACTTCCAGAGCGCTTAAATATTGTAGCAGAGAGGCCACGAGAGGCAAGATAACCTTGGTGCGTTTAAAAAACCACAAAGAAAACCACCCCCAGCGTGAATCCATTCCCTCCTCCCACCCCTCTACATCCCATTGCAACTTCCAGCCGTGTTAGTAGCAGAAACACAACGTATTGTTATAAAACCTCTTCTCCTAAAATTTAGACAGCAAAGTTTGGGTGGGTTTTTTTTTTGTTGTTTTTTTTTTTTTTTTTTTTTTTTTTTTTTTTTTTGTTTTGTTTTGTTTTTTGTTTTTTTGGTTTTTTTTGTGGTTTGTTTTTGTTTTTTTTTAATACTTTTGTGTATATTTCGCTTGCATCGCTTGGTCTAGAGCGAAGCTCTTTTCTAAGTAGTATTTTTTTCTTTTTAATCGCACTTTATTCTATTAAGCAGAAAGGGCATTTGGAATAGAGGTGGTCCCATCTGGAAAACCCCGGAGCTCATTTAGATCACATCACTTCGGGCTTTTGTCTCTGCTCTTGAATAACCCAGCTAGACACAACAAAAGGGCAGAGATCTCTACGTGGAGTTTTTTCAGTGGTAAAAGGACGCCTCGGAAAGATGCTTCTATATTCGTAATAACGAGGAGGGAAACGACTCAACGGGATCTTCTCTTGGTTCTCGAAAGACACCAGGAGAGTTCAGGGATGGGGCATTTTTAGATAGTTTTTAACCCCACTGGCAGCTGAAAACCAGCACTCCGGCTGGAGGGAAGGAACCGAGAACGGCACCTTTTGTCTGATGGAGGTCTCTTAAATTCTCAGTTTAATATGCTCGGAGCGATCCAAACCCGAGGTGGTCCTCGCCGAAGGTACGTGCAGACCTTAGCCAGGAGGCGAGGATACCCCCGCCGGGTATCCCCACCAGCCCCCCCAGCATCACTGACCCGATAGAAACAGCGCCTCGAAAAAAAGCGATTTATCATTTCATTTTATCCTACGGGAAGGGGACTGGCAGCCCGGGAGGAGATGGGCGCTTCCTAACCCTCCATTCGGCTATTAAAAACACAAGGGTGGTTATTTCTGTTCTGCGTGAGGATGGAGTGGCAGGGAGGAAAAGAGCTGCAAGTTTAGGTGTGCGTGAATTAACACCCCAGGGGGTGGTGGACTAGGAGGGGGGTGGGAAAAGAAAGATCCCAAACGGAATAAAGCCACCTCAGCTATTGATTTTTTTTTTTTCTCTAAACGCATAAATTAAAGAGCTCTGAACATCTTGCATCAGAAGCGTGCCTGCTCCGAAGTATTTAAACGAGCAACAAATTTCCACCGTGGC